CTTGTGACCAGATTTGCTTCCCGTGTTCGAGTTCCGGTTTCAGAGTCGCTCTGCGGACCCCAAAATTGGGCCAATGCACAGTATTTGGGAGTTTAGGATTTAGGGATTGGGTTTGGGACTTCGAGTTTCGGGTGGAGAATTGAAGGTGTAGGGCTTAAGCGAATAACATAAAGCACCGGATCGGGCTTCTCTCGGAATGCTTCCGAAGAGCGGTTAATGTCTAATGTCAAACCAACATTCTACTTCTAAGAACTGCTCTAAACCCTAAACCCTAAACCCTAAACCCTAACCCTAAACCCTAAACCCTAAACCCTAAACCCTAAACCCAATCCTCGTTCGACAATTCAGCTCATGGAAGGCAATTGCAACGAAGGGCCCGCTTCCACAGCGTGTCACAAGCAAGGGCGCCACCAGCCACTGCCGTCTTCAAAGAGCGAAGCCGAGCTTCAGGGTATAGGGCTTAGGGTTCAAAAGACGGCTGTTCCGGGGCTGCCGACTCATGCTCAGACTCTTCGCCGTGCCATGGCTCTGGTGCAAAAACCCCATCAGAAGCTAGTTAAGCGTCCACTTCCTGAAGGCTGTAAATATAAGGATCCCAGACCCAGCATGTTCACGGTGCGGTATCACATATGGAGCCGTACGATGAAAAGGGCATCAGTCTTTCTCGACACGGTGGATCGCCGTCGCATGCTTCGGGCGATGTGGGCAACGACCCAACGAAATACCTTGGCATGCGGAGCACCAGGCACAAAATTACCATGTCCTGCAAACGTCGGGTCTATTCTGCTGTGTAGTAGGCTGCCGTCCAGGAACCCAAGAACCCTAAAGAAGCCCACCTGGATCATCAGCACCTGCACGGAGCTTGGAATGCTCAGGTCCTCAACATGCCAGCTCATGGAGCTGGTAGGCCCCTTATAACTCTCTTCTTCAATAACCGGACGCGAAGAAGTTCAAATTTCCTAAGATAGGCCAAGCAAGTGTTATCAGGCCAGAAAGTTGAAGAAAGATCTCCCATTCAAGGTCCCACTGGCTATCCAAGTTAAAGATAAAACCTAAACCCTAACCCTCCAGGTACCTACTGTAGAGGGTACTAGAGCCCCTAGGGCCAAATATAGTAGGTACCTGGAGGGTTATAGTAAACCCCAAAAAGTTGGAAACCGGATTAAGGACAAATAGTGCTGAGATTCCCTATACATTACTCTTAAAGATTGAGGCTATTGGGTTTCCAACTTTTGGGCTTCTACCGTAGGGTTAGGGTCTACAGGTTTTGGAGCGTTGTTGGGTTGTGTTCGGGCCTGGGGCTTTGGGGCTTTCCGGTCTCCGGGTCTTCGGATCTTCGCGCTTTCGGGCCTGTAGGGTTTAGGGTTTAGGGTTTAGGGTTTAGGGTTTAGGGTTTAGGGTTTAGGGTTTAGGGTTTAGGGCTTGAGAAGTGTAGGATCTAGGATTTTGGGATTTCGGGTTTAGGGGTTTAGGGTTTACATAGGGTTTCGGGTTTAGGTCACAGATTCTTCAAAGGGCTGCCCTAAACCCTAGACCCTAAATACCTGTAGAGGGGAAGGCTGCTAAAACTTAGGCTTGATGGTGCTCTGCTTCCAAGGACAAGGATCCTACTTAGCCCTGAGGGTCCATGTACCCAAACAGTATATACATTGGCCCCAAAGTACTTATATAGGGATTACTTTAAGGCCAAAGTATATCTATTTGGGTACATGGACCCTTAGGGTAGAGGATCATAGGACTCGGCAAGCAGGGCTGGAGATAAGGTAACTATAAATGTAACTACTCAAACTCCACCGAGGGTATGTATAATCTTACGCACTAAGTCCCAAGATCAGTGGATGGAATGAAATTGTTCACAGATTTTTACATGCTCCTACGCCCCAAGTCAACCATAGACTCTAAACCTCGACTGCACGGACTTTCTCACACGAGCAGTACGCGTCTGCGGCATGTGCCCGTTCTGCTGCAAGCGAGCTGACCGAAGAACAAGCCTGACCTGTTCAAGGCTTGAGGTTTAGGCCATTTGGAATCAGCCCGACGGCCAACTTCCAAACAGACAGCTTGGGGTAGCATTCTACTACATAGTGCTTTGGTGGTATGATGTTGTTGTGTTCTGAAAGCCAGGGAGTCAGAATCCTTAGTCTGTACTTTGGCCGTGGCCCGTAAGGAGATCCGTCTTAGTAGCCCATGCCGGCAGCGCGATGGGATGCAAACACCGCTGCTCATTACATTTGTACTATAATGATGCACACGCCGGCACCCTCTTCTGCTTCTGAAGGTCCCTATATTCTGCAGAACAGCATCCGGACCCTGCAAGGTTTCGGGATCTAGCTTTTTTGCCTGCTGGAGCATGCGATACACGTCGTTCAGGATGCTTTGTCCACCCAAGCTGTTCAGGGAGGAGGCAACATGCCTCTCTTCTTCAACAACCAGGCCAAAAAAAGTTGAATTTTTTTAGGATAGACCTAAATTATAAAGCCAAAAAGTTTAAAGTTCTCCCACTGGCTATCTAAGATGCTCATTTCTGTTCACTGTCTGGTCGCTGGCCCATAGTACGGTTGCCTGGACACCGTTTCTTCACGTTCTACAGGGGTGCTGCCAACTTGACCGCTTGTCAGATGTTATTCCGCTGAAACATGTAAAAGCCCTCATCTGCAAATACTGCAATAGAGGCGTGAGTACCAAATCTCCGAAACGCCGAACCCCAGACACCCTCATCCTTCTAAACTACTAAACAACACCGCCAGCGAGCCGAACTCCTCGAACTCCTCTAACCAGCCTCCGCACTCTTAACACGTAGCCTGCTCCGGTGCCCCCACCTGATGGCGAGCGGCACCTCGTGAATCCGCGTGTCCGCATGTTGAGCCTCGTTTCGGGATCAGTGTTTTGGGAGTTTAGGGTTTCAGGCTCCGGGGCTCTTCGGGATGTGGGGCTCGAAAACTTTGGGGATGAGTGGGGCTTACAGGGCTCAGAATCTGAAAACAGACGTTTCCAGCATTCCTGGCGTGAAACTGAAGCCCGAGGCCCAATGCGGAATCCGAAGCGATTGAAACCGAAGAGCCCGCAACAGCCATCCCGATCGATGGGCTCGGAAGAGAAGCCTTACAGACGCACTTGGGGAAACCAGAAGAAATCGGGCGTTTTGGGAGTCACTCTGGTTTTCCTCTGCACTGTACGTGTCTTGATCGTCAAACGGCCAGGATCTTGTCGCATGGGGCGGGCCTGCCTCCAAGCACCACATCTTCTTCTGAACGTGTGAAGTGGCTTCACAGCTGTGGAGCCTCATACATGGCGTAGGTGTAGCTGTCAGAATCCGGGCTCAGGGATGTTGTGGCTGAGCAGCATCAGTTGGGAACTGCTGTGCCGCTTCGCAGCCATGATAGAACACATAAGCCGCCCACACGACGGGCCTGAAGGGATACCTTGCGCGAAGTTGCTGTTGCTGCTGGCGCAGCGCTGATGCCATGGACATTCCCTTTGTCAACCAAGCCTTGTAGAATCCAATCGCAATATCCTTGCTGCGCTTGTCAGACACATCCCACAAGGCCATGATCAAATTCTGGGCTCCAGCAGCAAGGAAGGCTCTGCCGACGCCTGCAACTCCGCTTCCATAGACTGCAGAACCAAGGGCCAGTTCGCAAGCCGACAAATACACCAGCGAGGTGTCTTGCAGTCGCATTTTCAATATATCGTGGCCCGTAAGCAAGCCGTCTCCAATGTCTGGTGGGGTGTCCTGGCGATTCTGGAAGCTTTGTGACCCTGCCAGTGCGAGACCGACCCTGAGGAACGCGTCACTGACCGCATTTTTCACCAGGATCTCTTCAAGCCGGCTTTCAGACCCAGCACCAAGAGAATGATTGCCGCGATTGCCTGGCCGTACAAAGTAGCGGTACTCCGCCAAGCAGTGCTCGCAGAGGTCGTAGTCACAACGCACGCAGCGGTAACGCTTGCTTCCCTTGCACCTCCCTGACGCACAGCCTCCATCATATTGGGATGCATCACACTCCCAAGCCTCACTCGCGGGCCAATCCACCAAACAATGAGGATGACACCTGACGTAATGTTCAGTGAGTTGCAAAACGAATCCGTGAGTCGCGAAATGCAGAACTGAGGGCGCTTCCAGCTCCAGGACAGCCTGTACCGTTGCATCCTGCTTGGTCAGCACTCTGGGCCGAGTGTCTCCTTGCATGTGCCCTGCCCACTCCGCACTCACGCCTTCAACTTCTTCAGCTGTCCATCGCAGGGCTTTAAATTCCATACCTCGGCCTCGGAAGACATCTTCAGCATGAGCATGTGACGGCGAAACCTGCTGCGACTCCTCGCTTACAGGATCTTCCAAAATGAAACTGGGATCTCCGATGATTGCCCATGGGCGCCTTGCATCTGCAAGGAGACTGTCTTTCATCTGGTGACCAAGTCGAGGAAGCGCCCACCCAGAGATTAAAAAGCTTAAATTACTAGGATGGTCGAAAAGGAATTTATCGCCCTTCTGATTCATCGGCACTGCGGAAAAAGGGAATCGCCCTAGCTCCCCATCCACTGCAATGTACAAATGCCCCTTCATGCAAGAGAGAAACGGCTCAACAGCTTCCAACAACAGTTTGTAACAACCAAGCCCTGCTGTCAACAGATCTGACTTCGAATGGCAGTCATCCACAATAAGCCGGCGAAACTCCTCGACTGCCCCGTTGATGACACTTGCAAGACCAAGGTCGACAACATGTGCGGTGGTGGGAGTGATGGCAAATACAGCATAACGTAATGACCTCGTGAGCTCAAACGCTTCCCAGTGTAACGTTGGTTCGTATGCATAATACTCGAGGAGCAGGTCATCCGTCTGCAGGGCACCCTGAATCTGACCAGTATCAACAGCAAACTGCTGTGTTAGGGACAGCATGGCATCTGGAGCAACCGCTTCACCTTCTGTCTCAGCAAACCTGGGAAACTTGATGTCAGTAAATGCATGGCTGGGCTGGTGGAATGCTGCTCTTTGCTCAAAGCAATCGCGGCATAAGTCGTAATTGTGACAATCTTGACACTTGAACCTTGTTCCCTTGATGGGTGCCATCTCGCACTTGTCACACATGACACCATGATGTAACACAGCGCAACTTCCTTCATGTCTTGACAGCGGGTGTGCTTGCTGCTCTCGGTGAGAGGTAGATTCGCTGCTGTTGTCCGTTGAACTTTCAAGCTGATTCAAGCTGGCACGCTGTCCAGCCTGAGTCAAGCACGAACTTTCCAGCTGAAATCCAATACCCTTGAGCCACTGGAGCAGTCCTTAGTCATATGCAGGCAGCAGCGTAACTTTACCAGCTAACTAACAGCATAAAAACGCATCAAGATGGCAAACCACATGAATGGCGTTATGCTGATGATGTCACGCGGCTGTATAGAACAGGCACCGACTGCTGCCGGTCAAATTGAAGAATCAAGCTCAGCAAAATAGAGATGTCTGCACGAACAAGGCCTACATGCGTTCCTGACTGCAGCAGGCTGGATGCCCCAGCCATTTCGCAACCTGCTTGCAGAGCGGTCCAAGCAAATTACGGTGAACCAGTATGTTAAGAAATTTTATCAAACAAGAAATGAGACTCTGGCACACGCCAAAAGAAGTTATTTGAGAGTCTCGCCCGGACCCC